GCCTGCTTCACCTTGCGTTTGTGATAAACATGAACTACCAGTCTGAGTGCTGGTACACATATACTGAATACTGGTCTGAAGTGAGCTTTTCGCTTGAAGGTGCTGCTATAATTAAACTAGATTTAAATGAATTGTTATATCGAGGCCTAGCTGATCCTTCTTCACTTTTATGTTCTTGTGTGGTGATGCTAGGCTGACTTGCCAATCTTTTAGATTCACTTGACACTTCTGTGAAGGACCACACAAACCCACCTTGTGCCGGTCCCTATGCCTTAAACATCAGTTAAAACTGGGGGGAGAGGGAAATCTGACTGCACCCCTGCTCCTCCATGCCGGAGCTGTGGGAGTCCGTAGGTGACAGGCAGGGCTGAGCGAGTCTGACACTCCCGGATTTGTGCTCGGGAGCTCGGAGCAGCAGTGAAATCACAGTCCAAAACAGAGGCAAAGACAGCAACAGCAGGTGTAAGCAGATGCTTAAGGAAGAATACGAGCAGGGCCAGCATATTTGGCCTTTTCCTAATATTCTTCCGGCATGCAACTAACTCATTTGTAAACCTGGACACAAATACTTCAAATTACCTTCTGTGAAAAAGTGGGAATCTCATGAACAGAAAACAAAATAGTAACTATTGATGTAGGAATTATTTTGAGAGATGGTCTAGACAGCTTTGTAACACATTTGTGATTTTATTATTACAGGAGAAAACTACGAACTGATGTTGCAGCAGCTTTTCCTAACCTTAGTGCTGAACAATTGACTGAGTTTATTCCAAACAAGGAAGAGCTTAATGTCATCAAAATATACTCTCACAAAGGGGAGGCCATCACTGTTTACATGAATAACAGGAACCCAGTACTGTTTGAAATTGAGAAAGCTCTGTATCCAACAGGTATGGGGAGTTCACTAGAATAATCTTCCATCTTTACTTACTGGGCACCAGCCTTTCCCCAAAAGATTTCCTTGTGTCTGTTTTAAGTACTTATCCTATCACTATAGTATCGGTACACTTCGTAATCTTTAGTGCATTTGTTCTACCAACATCTTTCCGAAATCAGTGGCGTTTCTGGATTCTTTCTGCAAAAAGGAAATTGATGTGCTCAGAGGTTAGAAACTAGGAAACAAGTCTTTTAACCCATAGTTTAGCATTTTAGCCCCTTTTCTCTCTTTTGTCCACTGCAAGGTGTAATTCCAAGAAGCATGATGTCCACTTCCAGGCAGCCCTGGAATTAGGCAATTAATTGCTCTGGTATTCTGTGCTTTTATTTTTCCCATACCCAGCAGTTCTTCCCTGTTGGAGTAGCATTTTCGCTCACAGTGTCCTTGATTTAAGGAAAACAATGCAAACATTTGTCTATATCTGTTATAACAATTCACAGGAGCTTGAATTAACTGGCAGTTTATTTTTCTCCATCACATCTGCTCATTATTGTAGGATTGTTCTGACTTCAGATTTCATGATTACCTGAGTAACAGGAGAGTGTTTAGTTGTGGTTAGTATTGTACTGCTTAGTCTTAAGGATGGGAAGAAGCAACAGCTAGAGAAGTTTTTAATGATGCATCTTTAAATTTGGTTCTGTTTTGGGACAGTGTACACTCTGTGGGTCTACCCAGATCTTCTCCCTGCTTTTTCAACATGGCCCGCTGTGCTACAGAAACTAGCAGGAGGAGCAGGTAAGAGAACTAGAACTTTGTCACATTGCATTGCAAAAAGGAGTTACCTTCAGGGCTTTTTTGATGTTATTTTTCCCAGTGGCAAAAATGTTCCTGAAACAAAGAAGACTAAAGAAGAAGTACTCAAAAGTAATTCATGGTGATGCCCTAAAAAGGAATACAAATTAGCTGTAAAAAAGTTTGTGAATGAAACAAAGTAGGTTAAGCTGTTTAAATGCAGTAACCTGTTCCATGTGGGAGTCTCAGATTTGGAAGCATCTTCTCAGGGCAATCAGCAACTCTGAACTGGGACACAGAACTGCCTGTGTCATTGGTCTGTCTGTTTTATAACTTTCCTTGAGCATCTGAGTTCCTTTGCTGCCACCGTGCTTCCTGTCAATTCAGAGATGAACTAGCTTATCCTATGGATAAGAAGTGAATTTGTATTGGAACCTACAGTTGTAATTACTGACAAGTAAATTGTGGACTGTGCAGGTGAGATTGGATTTGAATTCCTGGATTACTGGCTCTACTGCCTAATTATGGATCAAGACTAACAAGAAATGAGTCTATTTTCTGGAACCTGCTTTGGATGCAGTTCAGACTCATGAGAATCAGGTCTTTATAAACTTTAAATCGCTGAACTGCTCAACTAGAAAAAGATTAAATTGCAGCCACTGCGGCCTTAGTCTGTAAATGAATGTGTACGTGTAGGAAGAGGCGTCTTTTTTCCATTACATGGTATCTAAAGTAGAACTCAAGTCCCTCTGTTTGCTTTTGGGGAAATAAAGTGCTTGAGTGTGTAGCTGTGATAGACATCTGAGCAAGCTTTGCTGCTGACTTGTAGTGACCTAGTTTCTAGGAAAAAAAAAGTCTTACTAATGGGGAAAGGACATTGATGAAATAGGGCTGCAGGTCATTCATCTCCCATGGCAACCAGGCTACCTCTGGATGCCATCCAAAGATAAGAAGCTGGGCACGGAGACAATGGCCAACAAAGGCAGAGGGAGAGGTAGAGCCACATCTCAGAAAGAAGAGGGAAGTGCTGCGGACGTGGAGGGAGGGAGCAGATTTAGGGAGCATTCAGTTAGAAAGAGAAGCAAGGTAGTGCTGTTTGTAATATCTGTTCCCTGAATTCAAATATCTACTGTCTGCCCTGGTTATTTTTACATAATATACACATGCTACTTACCTTGTCACATTAAGGGCTCTATGTGATTTCTGTCCTCAGAGATGTGGAGCCTTGGTGGCAATTGCAGAGTTCATTCTAGATTTGATGAAAGTAGTTGTGACAGTGAATGGGAGGAAAAGTATTGTTGGCTTCTTCAGCATACTCATTAACTCTATGATGCTGAGAAAAAAGTGAGATGTCTTCAAAACAAAACCACAGAACACAGGTCAGTCCGTGAGACTGCAAGCTCTAGACAACTAAAGCTGCTTTGAGGGAGAGCAGATGCTCTTTGCGTAATTTTGTGATGACGTGATGATGTACATGTGGCATGGAAAACTGTTCTTTACTCACATGCCAGTCTGTTCATCCCAGCTACGGAAAGCAGACGGAGGCAGACCAGAAGGTGTACTGTTTCTATCCAGATTAGCAAGGAGATGGTTAAGGCTGCTTCCTCATGCTGAGGAGAGTTTACAGCTGAGTGCAGCTATTGTGTCAGACCAGGAGGGCTGGGTCAGCAGTGGCAAATTTTAGGCAATTCTCTCTTCAGGGAGATTGCTGCTGGGATAACCTGCCCTTGGGACAGGGAAGAGTAAATGGGCAGTTCCAGGCACATCTCCTTTTTCTTTCCGTGTCATTAATGAAGAGTCATGCTCTCTAGGTTGGGAGCTCCTACCTTTCAGTTAAAAACAGTGCTCCCTTCGGGCCTGACAGGGCAAGGGGCTGAGCATGCTTAGCTCTTCTGCAGTTTTTTGGGATGTGCCCAGCACCCCTGTGTGTTGGATCGCTTACTCCACTGTGTGGTAGCAAGAAGTGCTGCCTTACTAGGAGAAACAGAGATTCATGTTTTATCTGGCATGTGCTCAGCTATTAACAGGCTTGTGTTTTTGCTGAGTAACAGGAGGGATGGGGGTGGAGGAGGTAGCAGCTGAGTCTTTCATTGAGAAATGGATGTGCTTTATTCTTTTCTTCAGATCTGATGCTGCCAGGAGTTGTAGTGCCATCGTCTGGTTTTCCTCAAGTAGAGCGGGGCACGCTCTGTGCTGTCACCCTTTTGGGAAACAGGTATGGAGGATTCTTTATTCATCTCTTTTCTTAGAAACTAAAACTGAAATGAAGCTTTTTTTTTTACAGGAAGAGTCTGGGAGTTTTGAGGAAATAAAAGCAGGATTGTTCTCATGCCTTTGATGCACTGTGGACCTAAACCATGGAAAATACAGCAGAAGAAAAATCCACTTAAGTTTCTGGGTTAGGGTATATTTGAGCTCAGGGGGACAGCTTTGCAAATTGGTTCTTTTGGAACTGCAGGGGCACAACTGGTGGATTTGTTTTGAAACAGAGTAATTTTTTTTAGCAAAAAATTGCATTCTACACAGTTGTCTTTTTGACTGTGAGGAAATTTAGAGCGAGGGAGCAGTGCTAAAGCTGTTGGTTTTTTTTCCCCCCCACTGCTAGTCTCTTTTGGTGGTGCATATGCTTCTTATACTTTAATAAAGGGAAGAATGTGTTGCTGCACAACCTTCACTTCAGTATCACAGCTGCACATATCGTTGGGATTCTTTGGAAGACTTTACATACCAGAAAGATAACTAGAAAATACCTAGACGTTTTAAAAAAAAGCAGATTGTAAAGAAGAAGGACATCATAAAAGAAATTCAGTGTGTCACAGTGGCACAGTCTGTCCAAGTAGCACAGGGTATTTGTGCTGTCCTGCTGTAATGCTCCCTTCTTTTCCCAGAGCTCCAGTAGCAGTTGCAGTTGCCACTATGTCCACTGCGGAGATGCTGGCTGCTGGAATGAAAGGGAAGGGCTTTGCTGTGTTGCATACTTACATGGATCACCTCTGGTGGGTATATTGCCAGGAATTTGGTAAAATGTGTAACAAGTCTCATGTGGTTACTAAAATCAAAATCTGTGCCTCAGTAAGCTTATTCTGTCAGGTCAACTTCCTGAGTTATTCAGGTACAGTTTAGATAGGACCATTATTAAGGTTTCAGCTACATGTTTTTGATGACCGCACATTTCTGGCAGGAGAATGTGTCTGTCCTGACATCTATCCATTATATACATATTGGAAATAGATATATAAAATTATTCGCTTGATTCAGTTCCTTCATTATAGAAATGAAGGTAGAACATCCCTGTTACTCCGATTTTAGAAAACCTCCTTCTTCTATAAAAAGTGAACTTTGAATCACTTTTGCTTAAAAATGGTCAACGGTGCCAGTCTCAACCAAATAAGTGGGTTGCCCTGCATTTGGATTCAACTAGTCTGCTCAGTTTTAAATTAAGATTCATGGGGGGAACATAGAGTTTATGGAGCAAGATGAGATGGAAATAAATTTTATCGTTTTGAGAATGCGGAAAAAGATCTATGCAGCTGCCAGTGCCTTTTATCAGGGTGACATTTGTTCATTATCCTATGGGTTTCAAAGCAGTAAACAGAAAGCTATGTTATGCTTTTTCTTCCTTTTATAGGGAATATGGTGACAAATCTTATCCTCCTACCTTAGCTCCCTCGGTAACAGATTCTGCTGAAAAGGAGAGTGCTGAAGATGAGGAAGAGATGGAAGGGAAAGAAAAAAAAAGCCTGTCATCACCTTCTCCACTGATCCATTGCAGCATGTGGACGTTGGTGATTTGAGCCTGAAGGACCGAGACAGTTGTGCAATACTGATGGGAAAGGAGGAACTCAGTGAGAACAGAGCTGCAGAAACAGCTGAAGATGCCAACACAGAGGAAAAAGGAAGCTGAAGACAGCAGGACTCCACAAGGTATTTTTGCATACGAATGAAAGCAAGCTATGCTGCTTTGGTTTGCTGAAGCCTGTACCCACAATCTAGATTACTGTGCGTTCTGTACAGCTCACTGTGAAAATGTAGAGACAGTTCTGTGTGGTCTGAAAGAGCTGAGTGCTGTGATCTGAAAGACAGACTACTCACAGCTTACTTGTCCTTTTTTTTCCCTGCAGAGCAAATGGATGCATTATTCAATCAGTGCTTTTTTCATGCCTTAAAATGCAAAGTAAAGAAGTCTGATCTCCCTCTGCTCACCAGCACGTTTCTACGCAGCCATATGTTCTCATGCTGGTATGTGGCAAGATTGTCTTTGGACTTGCATGCTGGGTTTTTGTCTTTAAAACTGTGGAGATCAAGTGTGACATTTAGGATGAAGCTTTTGACTCAAAAGTAAAATTCAGTCCTTATCTAAGGTTATCTAAGATTATGCTCACTTCTTACGTCAAATACATGGATGTAAGGATTGTCCAGACCAGGATACGCACTTGGTAGCTAACTTGAGTTGGCTGACATTTGTTTCAAGATTGCATAGTTGCTTAAACGGCTGTTTGCGTACCCACAGGAACATCAGCACTAGTTTCACTCATCACGTTCTATTTATTGGCTTGTTTGAAGTAATTCTTTCTCTGTGTGATTTATTTGTATTTCCACTGTTAAGAAACTTCTAGCATAAGTAGCAAGATTTAAGAAGAAATGAAGGGTGACTTATAACTAAAGAACTTTTAAAAAATCCATTTATAGCCCTGCTGGACAACAACTGGACATAAAGAAATCAAGCTATAAGAAGGTGAGATTTTTCTGTCGGTTTTTTGCATTGATTTCAATAGGAGATGGAATGAGAGAAAAAGTTTGAAGTCAAAATTGTTCAAGTGTTAGTAAAACAAACAGACAAAAAAACCCTGGAAGGTGTTAAAAGCCAAGTTCTTTTTCTGAACTCTCTGCTCCTGCGGGATCCAGGGAGAAAAGTAATTGTCCTGAAAGCATGGGCATTGATCTGCTTTGAATGCAGCTGATGCTGTCTGCCACTATATACTGCGATAGCTATTAAAGGGTTCTGATCTTGTTGGACAGTGCAGTTACTTGCAAGAAGAGGCCATTCCTTTTCTAAAGCTGTTAACGAACAAAAAATGAAGAGAAAGGAGATGATACTATCCCTGTTGTGTAGACAACAAGCAAAGACAACGTGCATTGCCAAAGATCTCACAGTAGTCCATGTGAGGTGTACTGTGATTTGACTGAGAACATCACAGAGCAAACGGATGGCAGACCTGCAAAAGGAACACTTGCTTTTACTCTGTTTTAGAGCCAGAGGCACTCACTGCTTCTTAGCAATTGCTGCGTTTAGAGAAGCAAAGGTATGGGAGGGGTGTGCTTGTGTTTTTTGTTTTTTGTTTTTTTTTAAAGAAACTTTTCTGATTTAGCAAGTAATGTCAGGGAAGTCAGAAACACATGAACAGGAATTTAAAATGCTTGACTCCACATTTCTGATTGTTGCTTCCTTCAGTTCTCTAAATTCCTGCAATGTATGCAGCACCAGAAGATCTTACAAGTGAAGGAGCTGAACAAAGGTGTGGAGAGCATCGTGGAAGTGGACTGGAAACATCCAGAGTATGTAGAATATTGTAGTCTTTTTTTAAGAGTTGGTAGTGTCTGAAAGAAGGGAGCAGAATCTGCTACTTGCAGCTCTTATTACCTATACTCTGCTTGAATTCCTGTTCTGAATAGCTGTAGCAGCCCTCATTTCCTAATCTTAGTATGCTATGGAGGGGTTTTATACGCTGCTTCTGTACAGCATTGCTTATGTTTCCTGCTCTTGTAAAGTTCTTCCAGGTAAACTATATTCTTCCTTCTTTGCTCAGTGGCACTGAGCATGCCTAAAGTCTCATGACAGTGTCTTGATTTCCCCCTTTCCTTTCTTGTTAGTTGTGCATTCATCCATAGAGCTTAAGATCAAAAAGGACTGTTAAATGAGTTGTGTATGGCTCTTTATCCTTGTAGTGGGTGTACAAATTTTCCAGAGAAACAGCTTTGAAAATGTAAAGGGGGATTCAATTCATTGCAATTTGTTGCAGTGTTACAATGACAAATTTCTGGCTTCTAGTTTGGATGCTAGTGGAAGAGTTATAGTATCAAGCCTGTTAGCAGTCACTAAAAAGCACATTCCTTTGACAGTGTCTTGACAGTTTATGTGAATTTCTTTGTTGTTGTTGGGGAAAGGGAGGCAAGGAGGTTTGAAACCCATCAGGCAGTTTTCCATCTATTTAACAGTGACTATAATGGTATGACTGTTTTATGTCTTTCCAGTTTAAGCAGGTCTCCCCCTCCCCGTTCCATCTATGTGCTGGGACAACTCATTGTTCCGCTTTGAAGTGAACTTACCTGTCTAAACAAGAACTCCAATAAAAAGATGACACTGCTGCTGAATAAATGCTCATGAAACTACAGTCTCAGAATGTCATAGAGGATCAAATCAAGCACTTTGCAAAATTAGAAACCAAAGTTATAATCTCAAAAAATTTAAAAAAAATTGCTGTGTTTTCCATTACACATATTGATTTGCACAAATACTCTTACCCATTCAGTTACTTACTACCCAGTTCCTCTATTGGTGTTTCTGTTATCTTTCTAAGGATTAGTAGTTATCTCACATCCTGCTTGTTCCTTCTGTATATTGGCACATTAGCTCTCTCTTGGAATTTCCCAGCAGGCCTTAGGCTTCCTGTTATATAGTGTCTCCTTGGCAACTAATGGAGTGGAGAATATTTCTGTAGATACGAGTGTCTTCTCTTCTGCGTTTGGAAAGAAGCGGAATTGCTTTGACTTTTTGCATTAGCTTTTCTCTCATTAAACTTGGCCTTATCACTAGGAGACAGACATACTCAAAGGCAGTTCGTCAGTTCTCTTACCTGCAAGCATAGAATCTGCTGCTCTGGTCAATGAACTGAGACTCAGCTCCTGCACTGATACAGTTCTTACCCCTGTCTTCCGGAGTTGTCTTTTATCCGTGACTGCTAAAGAAGGATTTCAGCTTTTAATTGGCTGTACATTTGCTAAGCGCGCAGTTGGGGTTTTTTTTCAATTTAATTCTAGCAATTCTATGGAATGGGACAGCATCCTTTGGATTATGGCAGTTGTCTCTAATTACGAGAGAGTCAAATATGCTTAGAATAGCTGCAGAGATTTACTTTTTCACCAACATACAGGGCTTTACTCGGAGTGAGAGGTGTTTAATATCATCACCTGAGTTAAGGTGCTTATTTATGTGTATCTTTGAAATGTGTACAAGGACAAATTTAGTCATTTCAGCTAATGCTTCAAAATACTGTTTTTTCATCATGTCCTTTAACCCACAGACACTGGCCCCCACTGCAATGGAAGGCATTTGGAGGATCTGACATACTATACAACAGACCAGAAAGCTTTTTGCACAACTCTGCTAGGTTTTAGTTTCTCAGTGAAATGGAAGTGATAAGTTTCAATCCCTTTCACTCACACCAACTAATTCTTATTTCAGCATTAAAGCATTTGCAGTACCTGAAGGATTTTCTTCAGCCTCTGCTGCCCAAGAGAGCAAGCATGAAGACAGAGAACAAGTGTACCATGCTCCTGAGATCATTCCACTTTATGGGGTCTCAACGAAAATGATCCCACTCTTCCAGGAATCTGGACACAGGTAAGCACTAGAAAAGTATAACAAAACCATTGTTACGTGAAGAGAGAGACTAACAAACCTGTGCTGCTACCATTTTGTTAGCCCTTGTGGGGAGGGCCCCGCGATGCTGTCAGGAAAGGTGATAGGAATCAATATATCCGTTGCTTCATAAAGGGAAGATAGGAGGCTGTGACAACTATGTTCAGCAAGTACTCACATCACTTCTCCCACAGCTAAGGAGGTGAAGGCTCAAATGTCAAAACTGATACATTTTACTTAGATTGTCTTAATTTGCCATTGGATAAGGCATATTCTGCCCACCCACTGTATGGTTTACTGAAAAGAGGACGCCCAAATAATTTAAAGAACTTACTTGCCTTGTTGTGCTCTAATCTTGTCTGTTTTGATGTAGTTTAGATAGCAGTCAGTGGCAGCTTTTCTTCAACTAAGCACTTTCGTTCGTTATCTACAGTCCCCCTGAAGTTAGGGTTCCCGTTGAAGTCATCCTCCCAAACTAGGCTCCCCGGACCAAGGGTTTTAGATTCTCTGTAATTACTGCTGTGAGCCTTTTGTCTGGTATACAGCGGCTGAGGTGTAACAAAAAATCACACTTTAGCAGATGTATTTCAGTATTGAGCTGTTGCTACCAAATGCAGTCAGGGTAGTTGCTGTCTTCGTGACAGAACCCAATACCTAACTACTTAAAGTAATAAATTAAGAAGTTTTCTGTCTCTCTAGAAAAGGCAGCATCCTCTCAAGCAGTGAGGTGAGAAACATCATCATTAATTATGTGAAGACTAATGAGTTGGTTGATGAAACAAACAAAAAGTAAGTAGACTGGGAAGTCGTCCTACCCTGCTTCCACAGGAGATGCTGAAGTTAGAGGGAAAAAAGGTGACCTTGTTTGCTTCTAACGCGTGTTTTTTGTTTTGTAGCTTTGTAAAAGTGAATGCCATTCTCTGTGACTGCCTGTTAGATAAATCCGAACAAGATGAAATCTCAAACCTTAAATGGGATGACCTCTTGAGCAGGTGACTCTTTTCCCAATGTAATGTTTCAGTATTACACAGATTTATTGCATGCAGCTCAAAGCCACCTGTTATTGGAGCTACTTAAGTTGTAACTTCCTACTGGTAATAAAACAAAAAATATCCAGAGACCTTCACTTGAAGGATCTCTCATTCTTCACCATTTGACAAGCATCTCAAATTAACTGTTGTTGTTAGGGTTTTTTTGTTTACCTGCTAACCACTTCTCAGGGAAAACTTCCTAAACAAACAGTGCCCGGTTCTGTCTGTAACCTGCATGTACGTATTTATAAAGCCACCCTTTGCAATAGGTAACTGAACATGCCCTTCTTAGGCAATGGTAGTCATCCTGCTCTTTATGTGCAGCACAACTTCTGCATTTACAACCTAAACCCACCTTTTAGATCTGAGAGATCTCAGTATCTGACGTAAGACCATTGTTTCTATATACCAAAAAACTTTGCCTAAATATCCCAAATGTCTTACTTGCCTTCAGCTTCTTCATCACACAATGCTTCTGAGGCACCTCCAGCAGCTTCCTTTATTTCTAAAGCCAAGTTTGCTCATGCGACAGTAACGCAGTTTATGCTGAATTTTAAACTGAAGTTGCTTCACCAGTCCGTGAACAATACAACTGAACAATAGCTTAAAGACAAAATTAAAGCAGCTTTTCCTCTGCAAGAACCAATTTGTAAAATTTTACCAAACAATCTATAATTTTTGCGAGTCAGTAGACTAGCTTTCTTTTTAGTCAGTCCCTTTCTTTAAATAATAGCTAGGATGCAAATCTTTGCATAAGATCATGATGCATTATCTTACTAAGATACAAATTCTTCTCACATGTAGAATCTTGGCTTTCACGTAGTCTCAAAAACCTGTGTGAGGCTGCAGTGGAAAAGCGCAGTTAACATGAGCCCTGCTGTACTGCATAGACTAATTGGATGTATAAACTTTGTTCAGGTGCCTTGAACGACTGCAGCCCTTACACCAGGTGACATTTTTTGGACAAGAACCTATTGTGAGGAAAGGAAACATTGAGCCCATCAACATAACCATAGCACAGAGATCATCAAATAAGAAGGTAAAAAGAAAACTAAAATTAGGGGGTTTGAGCAGAAGCCCAGATTCTGAGAGCAGCTTTGGCAGCTCATTTTTTTGGGATGAATGAAAAATGACTTGCTAATACCTACAGCAGTGATGTTTGCAATAATTCTTAAAACCTGTAGGTTACAATTATCAAGAACCTTGAGCTGTATGGTCTGGACCCACAGTGTGTGGCCAGCATTCTGCAACAAAAAGTACAAGCCAGTGCCACCATCACCCCAGTACCAGGAACAAAAGACAGAGTTCAGGTCCAGATCCAAGGCAACCAAATCCATCATCTGGCCAAGATGCTGCTAGGTAAGTTGATTCTGGAACTGGGCCGGGACTGGTTACAGCAAGATACAGACTTTAATTCGTGAGCTCTGAATATTTACCTGAAGTGAACTCTTTGTTATGTTGCAGAAGAATACCAGCTACCTCGGAAATACATTCAAGGCCTCGAGAAGGCTCCAAAGCTTGGCCGGAAGAAGTAAGAGAAAAATCTACTATAAGAATTACTCAGATCTTGTTATTTATAGAATTGTTCTGCCAACAAATCAAGGATAATGTACAGGCCCTATTAAGTCAAAAAAATGAGTCCTAGGAGTTTACAGGGTCTAGAATTCACCCAAATAATAATACTGCTCCAGCTGTTCATTTTTCATAAAAATAAAAAACTGAATAAAACCCCTAGCATTATCCTTTTTCATGTATTTCCTGGAAGTTCCTAATGGTGCACTGGTTTTCTGGCTACAGCAGCTTTTGGCTAGTTTAACATTCTTGCTTTGCATGTTTTAGCGAAGGCACGGTTATAGGACCTGCACTGAAATGTAAGCAAAATACATTCCAACACATTGTCCTGGAACAGTCCAGTATGTTGCGCCATGGATTGTGTATCTCAGAAGTAAAACCCATTTGGTTTTAGATGTTATCCTTGTAAACATTTCCAGGTATTGATATCAGATGTTTCAGCACTGAGAATTACCTCTTATAAGCTGGATTTTTAAGGTTTATATTATTTTTATATATAAATACGTTTTAATGTATGACATTAACTGTAATTTATCACAGGTAGACATGGGTAGCGGTTCTGTCAAATCCAGCTAAAATATTAAGAGAAGATTAATGGAACACTTTGGTCAGGTTTCACAGTGGTACATGTTCTGTACCTCTTTGGCTGAAGCTTAAACAGTTTACAGTAGGGTTAAGAAATTTAAATTCACTTCTAGGAAGGATTCCTGTATTTTTCCTTTAGACTTAATACATGAAAGTTCCATAGGAGGGCGCCAGAAAAAGAAGTTAAAGAGATTTCTTTAATTACTGACAGGTTTATTATCATTGTCTTTTACACTGTCTGCATATGAACAAGTAGTTTCAGAACCTTCAAAAAAGCTGGAAGTGGGACATGTTTTAAAAATTCCATATAATTACTAGAGAGTAGTAAAAATAAATTACAGCATTGCAAAAATGCATTTCACTTTGCCATAGAAGCTTTACTATTCCATTCTATACACATTATTTTACATGTTTTACAATAGCCATGAAAAATAAATTCACATGAACTAGGCAAGACAATATACTAACCAAAGGCACTGCCAACAGTATTTTGCGCTTAAGGGAGGGGGCAGTACTTCTATCCTAGAGACAGCTCAACTGACTGTTGAGAATTTGAGTTTCAAGATCTACCAATTAGTCAAATGCCCCGTATCTTGGGGGGAAAAAAAAAAAAATAATCAAAAGAAACAGCCCTCCTCTTTGCAGGAGGTTTTCAGCAGCATTCACGGTAATTGCATAAGAAGCCATGCCTTCTACAAAATGTCAAAGACATGCTGGGTTCCAGGAAGGGAGCGGGAGACAGTCACCAAAACTCTAGTAGAAAACAATAACAACAAAAAAGAAATCTTTATGACTTTTAGCCAGAAAGATAAGGGATTTAAAAACAAGCGTCTGGACGTTACTTCTCAGAACCAGTGGCAGTTTTTACAGTGTTCTTCCTCTTGACTGAACAGAAGTATTTATACAGTGTTCTCAAGACTCAAAGCACTAGATAAATGTTACTTAAATTACTTCACAAGTGCATAGTGAAGTAATAAGTATTCTTGTAAATGGACAAACAGCCCCAGAGCACGAAAAGTGCTGCTCTCTTTGGGTTGCTGCCACGTTGTTAAAGGTCATCTGGGTGCAGAGTACAGTACAGCTGGGAGGCCCTTCCTGCACCGCGTGCCAGAGGCCATAGCCCTGTTAGCAAACCCTTTTACACTACTGACTAAAACATGAGCTGGAACTAAGCTTGCAGAAAGCGGCATTTATACAAACTGAGGGGCTTTAAGTGATACAGTTGAGCTCTTATGGTTTAGAAACAAACATACTAGAGTATAAGGGGAGGGGGGGCAGACGGAAATCCCAAGCAGTCACCTTCAAGCAAGAAACAAAACAGTTCCTCGTTCCTCTACATACGAAAGCAGCCTCATCTCATCACGACAGTACTTTAGGTAATTGGGGGGGGGGGGCAGGATTGACAAGGCCTCCTGACAAAAGCCCCTTCCAACTTCTTCCTTAGCCCAAATGCAAAGTTTTCACACTTAAGGGAAAAAAGGCACTGAGGTAAATTTTAAACTCTTCCACGTCTCTGTGGTAACTGTTACCCAATAACCTGTTGCCTCCCTTCCCACTTCACGCAGGTGGGATCGCAGCAGTCTACAGCGAGCTCAAAGGGACACTCATTCATCAAGTCAACACGAAACCCTTTCTCATGCTCCATCTGAGTCTGGCTAGTACTAACGTGTTCCGTTTTCTCTTAACGCTTTGTTGCGGTGTCCCGTGTAAACAGAGGGAAGACTGAACCTGGCTGTGTGCAGCGTGCTCGGCACAAAGCACTGAGAGTAAACACGGGGACCACCCTCTCTCAGGCTGGCATCCCTGGAGCCTTCCTTGCCCTTCAGCGATCGCTGCATGGCATCAGCAAGATCAGGGTCTCTGGTTGGAGTTACGGCAGTAACTGATGCTCCAGCTCAAGGATTTTTACGAAAGATGCACAGCGTGTGCATCAGAGACGGTGGGAGCCCTGAGAGAGGGGGAGAGAGACTTGCTGTCCTCTCCTAGCTCCACGTGGAGAGCAAAACCTGGTAACCTTCCCGGCCGTGCAGGCAGAGCACCCGTTGTGAGCGGGGAGGGAGGGAACGAGAACATGACACGTATAGAGTGGCACAGGGAGGGAGAGGATGGTCTGTGATGGACAGGAGTGGTGGGAGAGCAGGGCAAGGAGGGTTAGCAGGAAGAAGCGTAGTATGAGAGTGGTGGGCGGAAAGCATCTGAGGTTAATAGTTCCCTTACTCTTCCTGGTGCTAAGGCTCTCCCACGCAGGCAGCCTGTGCTCTCAGTGCCACCTCCACACCCTGGCCTTGGCTGGGGCTCCTCTCCCTCGGAGCCAGACCTGTTCATAGCTTAAAATCAGCTTGATTTGTGAAAGGGGTTTTGAGTTTTCCTGGGTTAGTCTGTTGGATATGTATTGCTAAACGTTCAATATCAGACCATCGGCCTATGCCCCAACCATCACCTTTACACTTTTCAAACAGAATTTCTTAAAACGTAGGTCCCAATTCCTACAGAGTAGAAAACTGGTAAAACACTGGCCAACTTAGCTAAGCATCAGGGGTATTTGCTTTAAGTCACGTCTGTTTTCAGATTGGAAATTAAATAGAATCAAAATGGATGACTTTTCCTGGAATTAATAGTACCAAGTTTCAATAATACTTACTAACAGAGTGTTTGGGTGTTGCAGCTGCCTTGGTGTCATAATTTTACATTTCCGTGGCTATCTTAGCCCTGAACAAGTCCGTCCAGCATTGGTTACAGCTGCAACACCCACGTGGTTTGGTGCAACCACCTCCTCCACTTTATCTGCTGCTTCCTGTGCTCTACTTACGAAATGAGAACTTGGCCACGTGGGCACTCGCAATGAGCCGCAGCACCTCCGAACAAGAACAAGCAAGTTGCTGGGAGGAGTGTGAACAGCAAGTGTTACCCTGCTCAAATCATTAGCCAGTAGATGTTCCTGTTGGGTTTAACACCGAGCATTTTCCACAAAGCTTCTCCGTCTGATGGTACAGCTGAAAAGCAAACCAGCAGCTGTGTTTGGTTTGTTGACCGGCAGAGTTTTAAAACAGGCTTCCCGTTCTTTGACTGGCTCTGGTCCTGGGATAAGAGGTTTCAGAAGCAGAGAATGCAATATGCTGATTTTATGGGTGCCGTGAGCCAGTCCTTAATGGAAGGATGAAGAGGGAGAGTGACTACTATAAGGTGTCCTGAGAAGTGTCTTTTCATTTTAAAAATAATATCTAGCTTAGTCTGATACCCAGTGTCTCCCGAAGGGTTATCCAGGCTTGCCTCTGGCTTCTTTCAAGGTCTGTTGCAGTCTCTGTTTAAACTTCTCGTACTTCCTTTGCACTTGCTGGATTTTGTCTTTTTCTTCTTTGTCCAGTATCATCAAGAAGTTCTGCAGCTCTGGGATGGAGAATGCGTCCCACTGCAAAAATAGCAGAAACGAGGGAAAGTAAGCACACACCATTCATCTTACTGCTCTTGTGTTCCCCCCTGCCCTGCATCTGTGAAGAGGAACAATAAGAGACATTTAAACATGTATCTGATCCCCAGGTGGCTTAATCTCATGGGGTCATGTTGTGAGAGGGGCGGGATAATGGGCTACAGCATAAAGGACCATCCTAGTCCTGAGCCCCTGAGACTGTAGATTTAACAGAAATCATCTTTACTCAGGTGAATTAAAGCTCCCACTGCAAGAGATGACACAGCTCCCTAAGGAACTGAGATGTACACAGGAGTAACTGATGCAGCAGTCGCCCGCACTCCTTGTTAGGAAGGGGGAGCGAGGTCCCAGCAGGAGCCAGTTCTCTTTATTCTGTTGCAAAGTTATCAAAACTCTGAGCTTCAGCAAAGCTCTTGGCATGAGGTGCCCGCAGACAGGCGGCTCCGGCCGGCACCTACAGCAGCGTCGGGCTGACAGCGAGGAACAGGCAGCCCACAGCCTGTGAGCGCTTCATAAAGACCACTTTACATCTGCTCAGCACCGCGGTGGGAAGCCGGCGTTCCTGCCATGGCCTTACCCACCGCGGCCCCGCTCCTCTGGCAGCGCGGCAGGTCCTGAACCACCCCACGGCACGGAGCTGCTCCCGGCATGGCAGGCAGAATCCCGTGGGATGCAGCAGCTCCCAACAGTTGCCTTTGTCGTGGTGGGGAGCATGACTGCAACCAAAAACTGACTGCGAATTTATCACCCGAGTGTCCCTGGCTTCTACTTAAATTAGTGGATTACTTGTAACAGTGTTTAGCTAATCTAGTTATTGAGGATTAACTCTGCGGTGGCATTGCTTGGTTCTGTAAACAGATTATGGGTTGGCCATCAAAACTGGCCTCAGCATTTTCACAGCTCAAGTTTAAATGTTTTAAAAATCAACACAATTTAGGGACAGTAAGTGACCAAAACTTTTTTCTTTTTTTTTAAAAAAAGTAAGCTACAAGCAGTCCATTCAGTTGGTAATTTAAGTTTGAAGAAAAACTGGTATCACACTCAGTATTTTAGAAGGCAAACCCAGCCCCATTAA